TTTTTTTTATGATATCTTATTTAAAAATATAAATTTATTATAAAGAATTAATTTTTATTAATATTTTATATATTTTAAATAAATTTAATTAATATTCTTCATATTTTTAAGATACAAAAGATGAAAAAACCTACAACTACAAAATAGACCAACATAACACTTTTAAACAAAACTTAATATTTCTGCAAGCATCTAATCTTTTATTATAAAGTCTATTGCATTTGGTTGGATTCTTAAAAGACCAAACTTAATAAACCCATAGGTTTAAAACCTAGAATAAACCAAAAAATTTTACTTCTCTACTTCGATCGATTTTATAAGTGTTTTTTTTTTATTATTAATTTATAAGAATTTTTTTGTACATTAAATAATATACTAACAAGTTTTAACACTTGTAATTTTAGAAAAATTATAGTACAATCTAAATTATATTAAATTACATAATTTAAATCAATATATAAAACAAATTTTATTATGTTAAAAAGCATTTTTTTTATTTAATAATTTTTTATTTTACGATTAAAACTAATACTAAACCGTAAAGCATGAGACTCAAATAGTATTGCTCACAAAATAACAAATAAAAGAAAGAAATATAATAGAACCCGTGGCCCAGGGCTAAACGGTCCAAACCAAATAACAACAGTCTGGGAATTAAAAATAAAACCGAGAACCGACGGCCCAAACAGAGCCCAATAACCAATGAAATTACTTTGGTAATTCAGCAAAACCCCACTGAAAACCCCCGTCTTTTTCCTTCTTTTCACCCCACTGGTTTTTCCGATGGATTTCCAGGTGGTGGCTCTAGCCGGCGGCACTTCGAAGAATCTCGTTCCTCTCGTCTCCAAGGTCTTCCTCCGACTCTTCCTTTTTCATGATTTTTGGTTCCTCTAGCCGACGAAACCCTAATTTCTCTTTCAGCAATTCAATTGAATCGATCAATCCTGTATACAGAAACAAGGGATGGCTGTCGCGGTTCTTGGTCGGCTTAACGTGAACGAGTTGCCCTTACGGGTCGATTGTTTCGCAAATTGAAGCAGGTCGGCGAAGGCACTTACGGGTCAGTTCTCTCATTGTTTCGTTGTTTTCTACCGTCCTACAATATCTACGTACGTATGATTGTTTGAGTCTCGACCTGATATGACCCTGCTTGTTTTTTCTATTTGCAGTCAAGTTTACAGGGTTAAAGAAAAGAAAACGGATGAAATTGTTGCTTTGAAGAGACTACGAATGGACAAAGAGAGAGAAGGGGTATGTTTATGTTTTCACCATTTTTCCTCCTTTTCAAATTATCTAATGTCTTTTCTGATAATTTATTTATCTGTTGAATTTTTCACCTGCAGTTTCCAATCACTGCAATACGTGAAATCAAAATTCTAAATCACAAGAATGTAATTGAGCTTAAAGAAATTGTGATTTCTCAAGGTAATATTGTCAAATGCTATATATCTATGCAGCCATTTCTCAAGGTATGGAGTCGAAGATCAAACAGGCTTTAAGTCATCAAGTGTGGGGTATATACTTAAGTACGCGTCAGTTATGCAGACTACTATTTTTTTTTTTTTATGTACATTAAAAGTTTGTGTATCAATAAATTTTATTTTATTTTATATTATATAATAAAAAATATTTTTTATTTTTTTATTTATTTTAAACACACAGAAACCGATGATAAATAACTTCATACGGCTCTCACCGACCCACGGAGTTGAATTACATGTTCGGCTATAAATTGTGAGGGATGTTAAAGCCATCGAAGCCAGGAAAGCTGAGATCTAAAACCACTTTGAGGATCTTCATTAGTAGTTATGCCAATGTTTATTCTTCTTCTTTTTCTGTTTTTCTTAGTTCTTCTTCTCCAGAAGATGCAAAAGCAAAAGCAGCGGCTGTGGCTTCCTCCTGGCCCTCGAAAACTTCCAATTATTGGAAACCTTCACCAAATCGGTGCAGTTCCCCACCAGTCGTTTGCTGAAATGTCAAAGAAACATGGCCCTGTAATGCTCGTTCATCCTGGATTTGTCCCAAAACTCATTGTATCCTCCGCAGATGCTGCGAAAGAACTCTTAAAAGCCCACGAGCTCGATTCCTGCGGCCGACCTCCCTTGACAGGTGCCGGAGAGCTTTCCTATAACTACCTCAACGTCGCCTTTACTGCTTATGGCGATTACTGGAGGGTAATGCGACGTCTGTACGTTATCGAACTCCTCAGCATTAAAAGGGTCCAATCGTTCCGCTTCATCAGAGAAGAAGAGGTGGAATTCCTAATAAAATCAATTTCGGAATTCTCCAAATTGGGGACACCGGTCAACCTCAGTGAGAAGCTGATTTCTCTTACCGCTGATGTCACCGGTCGGGTTGCTTTTGGAAAGAGCTTTAAAGAAAGGGAATATGAATATTTCGGCGCGGATTTCGAAGAGGAGATTCATGAAGCTGTTGTCATGTTGGGAAACTTTGCAGCAGCCGATTTCTTCCCTTACTGCGGTTGGATTGTGGACAGAATCACCGGTCTCCATAGAAGACTGGAACGGAATTTTAAAAAACTGGATGCTTTCTTCCAGAAAGTGCTAGACGATCACCTCTGCTCCGGTCGCCGAATTACAGAGGAAGAACACGAAGATATCATCGACGTTCTGATAAAAATAGGGAAATATGAAACGGCATCCGGTACTGAAAAAATCACTCACAATCACATCAAAGCTATTCTTATGGTAAGCATGTCACTTTGAACTTCCTCTGTTTTTGCAATGTTTCTTCTTTTAAAAAGTTAATTTCAACAATTACTCCTTAGGATTGACTGAATTCACAAGCAATTTTGAAAGGTTGAGGCCTAATAATTAAGAAGAGAATTTATTCTGAAATTTTCAACTGACAACCTTTGGATCTGTCACCGATCAGGACATATTTCTTGGCGGATCGCATACCACTGCCATAAGCATGGCTTGGGCCATGGCGGAGCTGGCAAAGAACCCAAGAGTGATAAAGAAAGCACAGGAAGAAATAAGAAACAGCGTTGGGAACAAAGGGAAAGTCTCAGAAACTGACATCGAAAAACTGACATCGAAAAACTTCCGTATCTAAAGGCGGTGGTGAAGGAAAACTGGCGGTTGCAGCCACCGGGGACGTTGCTGGCTGCGAGAGAAGCCATTACCCGATTCAACGTCTCGGGTTACACCATCGACCCGAAGACCCAAATACAAGTAAATGTTTGGGCCATCTGGCGGGATCCAAATGCATGGGAAAACCCCCAAGAGTTCTACCCCGAGAGGTTCTTGGACAGTCCAATTGATTTCAAGGGGCAGAATTATGAGTTTTTACCGTTCGGTAGTGGTCGTAGAATTTGTACGGGAGTGCATAAGGCGGTCGCGGTAGTAGAGCTGACACTTGCAAATCTTTTGTATTGCTTTGCTTGGAAATTACCGGAGGGGATGACAGAGGAAGATATCTGCATGGAGGAAGAAGCTGGAATTGCTGTTCAAAAGAAAGTGCCTCTTAAGCTCATTCCCGTTGAATATCAATGTTCATCTGAAAGTAAGATGTACAAAGTGGCTGTTTACTTGTATTTAAACGCCAAACATCACATCACATGTAAGGATATTAATATAACTACCGTTCGTAGAATTCTAGAACGAGTATTTGCATGAGATCAAGTTGTTACAACTACTAGTCTTTCTTTTGTTTATGCATTCTTAGTAAAAGAAGTATGCACTAGAGCAATCAGTCCAAATGCTTGTGTTGTGTCTAGGTCCGCATTGCCCACTTCCAAAAAACTCTGAGGCGTGAGCTGTTAAAAAAAATTAAAAAATTTATTTATGTGTCCTAAATAATTTTAAAAAAGCGTTTTAAATTTAAAAATATAAAAAGGTTGAGCCCTCCATTCTTCTTATTTCTCTATCTCCTATATTTATTCATTTCTCTCATTTTTTTTCGATCCTTTTTATCTCTCATAGTATTCCTTTTCCTTACTTCATTCTCTAGATTTAGTTTATTATTTTGCCCTTCAAAAAGAAAATATAACTCAAAACCTCTATTTATATTTTTTTATTGGTCTAGAGGAAATTTAATGATTTAATACTTAAAGTAATAGAGTTAATGTGTATTTAAATTAACCTTTTTATCCTTCAAATATAATAGCTCAGTCACTTACATATTCTTTGACATTTTTATAATTTTACAATAATTTTGGGCCATCTTCAATCCTCCTTTTCAAGCACTTGCACTCACGTGCCCCTTTCCTTGCCACTTATCTTTAATTTTGTCTCTTTTAACTCACTTACAATATTCTATTTTTTTTCTTCGCCTTCAGTGCTTAATATTCTTAAATATCCACTTTTAATTTCTTAAGTATGCTCAGTATTTTATGAATTAATAACTTTCATTTCTTAAGCCATTCTCCCTTAATTTAATATACATGTAGTGAAAAATAATAATAGGTATACTAGTTTAATATACATCAAACATTTGGATAAAAATATATGTTACTCCCATTTAATAGGAAATTGCAAGGATAGCTTTAAATATTGTTTTAGTACATATTTATACATTAATTTTTATTATTGTTGATATTATTATTGTTGTTGTTGTTGTTGTTATTATTATTATTAAATAGCAATTTCAAAATATGTGTTAAGAAAAATAGAAATAAAGCATATATATGTAATCCAAAATAAATAAATAAATAAGAATCAAAATTTATTTGGTTGATTTTAAAATTTATAAAGATCGATGGGCTAATATGGATATTTCTCAAATTCTTCATATTTCCAATTTATTCATCAAAAGGCTTATTTTGCATTGTCACCATCACTACATTCTTTTGTATGTTTACATTCAAAACAAATAGAAATATATACATATTCTATTATTTAAAAAA